AGTGTGTAACAGGCTGATGATGATCAGCTCTTGACGTCCATACAAGCCATTTCAGCGGGACATCGATGAAGCAGAGAGGCTGTAAAGGATTTCTGCTGCTACTGATGAATGCACAAAGGAAAAGGGGAAAGTATAGGCGAACTGCTATAGACCCGAGAAGATGGGGAGGAGGAGGGGTGAAATGGAGAGAGGGGCATGAGACAAGGGAGAGAGACAGATTGATGGTTTAGTGCTGACACCACAATGAGATTTAAGATGCTGCATGTGAGGAGGGGGAAAATAGAAAGCAGATATTGACATGGGATGTACACCTTAGATGCATTCAGAACAATTGAGACTAGGAATCATTATGAAAGAAATTAAACCTGACAGCAGCTGTAGTTGGGCAAGACACTTCACCAAGGGTTTGTTGTAGGAATTGTTGCATAGAAACAAACTCTAGCATGTATAACACAGGTGCATGACTATTAAGCAAAGAATATATAAGTCAAACAAATATACAATATATTATGTATATTATATTACCACTACCCAACGCATTTCATAATGGCGAAGGGCAATTTCTCACTGTTCTGTTATGGTTAAGGTTGAGGCGATATGATGTGTTTTTTGAAGAAGATGGAATACGTTAGCTGCAACCGAGTGCCTCCGCTCAGTTTCATTTCAATCCTGTGACTTGATGAGGTATCGCAGAAACGCAGACAGCTCTGAGAACTTAGAAGTACAATAGACCAATCAGCGCCCGTTATAGTTCAACAAAGCAGTAAAAAAGTGGTTGGGATGGATTGTAGACCAAGCCTTACATTCTGTGTTTGAAAAGATCCCAGAAACTGAGGATTGAAAAACAGAACAAAGAGGACCTTTGGAGAGTCGCAAATCCGTTATTGTCCTGCCTCCCACATACGTCACAACCAAACAGCAGCGATTGGTTGAAAAAATATGGCACCTGCCCACTTTGAAGCCAACAAATCATGATATCGTAATTTCAGACGGTTTCAACGAAGTGAAATGAAACTGGCATCAAGCTAATTATGGATTTCATTTCAGCAAAATCTTTCAAATGTGTGAAGATTTGCAGGAACAGTGTCAGCAGTGGCTAAAACTGCTCTGGCCTCTAAAACTTATGACCAGCAGATGTTAAAACTGGTGTGCCTGTCTTTCTCATAAATAATCTATTGTTAGTCCGCAGTTCGTATAACAGAAAGAGTCTTGTACAAGTAGAATGTTGAGAAAATCCCAGACCACAAAACATTTTTATTTCTTTTGCATTCTTCAGAAAGAACGAAAGAGCCTTGGGATTCACTATTAATGCTTTGGACTGAGAGCTGATTGGCTGAGGGACTGAGGCAGTTTTTAGATAGTTCCATTGTTTGTGTTTTGAAAATCAGAATGAATGCTGAAACTTTCAGATGAACTAGTTGTGTTATCGCCAAGTTGGGAAGAAGCACTTCTCTTGATTTCTGTATGCACCTTATACTCAACTGTCAAAGCTTAAATCCCAGTCAAACCATCATCTGACACCCAGAGCGCCATGTTTCACTTCAAGCCACTTAAACCCGGTTTCCATGGCAACTAAAGGCCTCGGCTCTGATCCAGTCTAACCTGCCATCTTTTATCTCTCTTGCAAATTATCATTCGAAAAGGTAGGGGAAAGAGATATGAACATATGCTAACGGTATACGGACAGGCAACACCCTCCCCGGACGTATCGCTCATCACTAATGACATATGGTTGAATTATTGAAGTGTTTTATAATGATAATTGCCATCTATAAATAGCTATTCACCTTTGGCATGGATGTTGCTGCCTCTATTTGTCAGTGAGAAGGTATGACAAAGTTCTGGGCGAGCAGAGCTGGAAAAGTTGATGAAAATAGTTATATTTTCTGTATGTGAGTTACTGTAAAGTGCATAACAACTATACCCCTGCTATGTACCACAGACTTGCCTATATACAGTAAATACGTTTTTCTTTCTTAGATGTGATATTTCTTATTTTCTATAGACCACACTCGCTGAGACTGTTGTGAATTCTTGGAGGTGCTAAAATGTCTTTAAAAATATTATAATTGTAAATGGAAAGGTGTGACTTGGGACTAGCACCAATGGACCAGTGTTGAGTAATATGCCGTATATACAGTACATTAAAAATCGTCTATATTCAGATTTTTAGCTATGCCTGTGTTGCTCTTGTTTACGTTGGTAATTATTATACTTTTTGAATTGCGTCTTTTCACTCGCCCAAACAGACAGACAGACTGCGACCGTTTGAAAACCACAGAATTGAACAGAAGCTGGAGGAAAGGGAGTGAGTGAGACGATGGTGTAATTGCTGTCGCAGATGCGATGGGAGTGAAAACAAGACCCACAGCCCAGTTTTTAATGTGAAAACGCTTCATCTCCACCTCAAAATCAGCAGCGACATAAAAGTCTGTTTCAACCCATTTATAAAAGAACTCGCAGAAGGATTTTTGTTGTTTGCCTATTTTCTTCTATTAGCTCAATGTGAGGAATGTATTGCATTTGGGGACTGGCTGACAATGAGATACACAGATGCAAATAAATATGACTATCCACTGAATTCCTAACATTTTTCAGCATTTTTCAACAGTCTCAGTGACTTTTTGATGTGCCAAGGCTGAAACTCATTACTCAGGCACAGATTTGAAGTCCACTTTGATGTTGGTGGTAGAGGTGTCGAGTTTCTGAGGCTAAATAGTTCAAACAGTCCTGAAATATCAAAAATGTATCTGACAAAGTCCCGTTTAAAGTTGCCGGCTAAAAGTCTCTTTGCTGCCTTCATAAATTGAACCACTGTTTTCTATGTGCAGGTCAAAACTAGTGCGAGGCTGCTCTGCTCACACCCATTTTATCCAAGTTGATGACAGAGAAACTTTTGGTTTGAATTTTTATTCTATTCAATTTACTATTCAATGTATTATTCTATTCAATTTAAATAGTTGTCAACTGGCTTAGTGATCCGTTTTTTTTTTACGGTCCACTATTTTTACATGGACTTATACATATTCAAGCAGAGGTTGTATGACTCAGATAATTATATCATTCAGATTAATCCCCAACAGGCAATTTGTTTCTAGCTATAGAGCCGCTCTCATGAAGCAAAAATGTTACTTAAATAAAAACAGCAATCACAACAAAAAACACATCAGTCAATGAATATTTCAACATAATGACATCATCATGACTGGGGTGACTGTATTTCTAGTTCAATAATCGGCCAACTAACTGATTATCACAATAATCATTCATCCAAGCCCTAGTTTGAACTTGATCGTTATTCTTGGATTTTTTATTGAAATAGTAATATTACGTTCTCTCATTTGTAAAGATTGGCCCACATTGTGAGTGGCAGAAGTGACTCAAAGTGCAGCTTTAATGAGCCCTGTCCTAAGCCATGACGGCTGTTTCTTTGGAGCGCTTTGACAATCACATCCTCCTGCCTCTGCTCTCTGGTGCGTTCAAAGACCTGGATGTAGTCCTGGATACATAGATTCCCTCCGGATCCAAATCTAACTCAGAGAAAAGAGACGGAAAATCACATTTGATCTTCAAGGAGCAGCTTGTTAACGCAGCACACAGGATAATGAATTATGTAAGGCATTAGACGGTACAAGACGTCTCTACAGGGATGGAATGAACAGGAATATTGTTTAGACAGTTTTGTACAAGCAGGTTTTGTTATATGTGTCGGTTATTCACATGTGGTCATTATATCATAAGTTTGACCATTAGAAGTGGAATTTCTATTTAGACATTATTCTTCCTTTATAAGCTATTCATTGTAAAATGTCATTCATGATTTCTATATTGTTCTGCCAAAAACGGTCAGACTTTAATTGGCAATGCAATTATCAAGTTAGCTACTTCTGGGTTGCATTAATTGAATTGAACATATACTGATTGTAGAAGTCAATTCCAAATCTTACATCTCACATAAAACAGGATTTATTATTCACGCCAAACATAAATTACATTATACAAGGAAACACAAACTATAGGCCTGGCACTGGTAAATCAATGACTGAGAATATAAAATGTTCATTTAATGGGCAAGCAAATGATCTAACATCCACTTACTCTTTACTTACAGGCCAAAACTACAGGGCCTCAGCGTCACACAGTCTCACACAGTCACACAGAACGTAGACATTGGCAATCCCGCTCCCTATGAACCTATGGCCCCTATGTGTTTGTTACTATTGCCTTGTTTTTAATTATTTGATCTGTTGCTGGCGAATCAACAGGACGACGGCTGTGGCGACTGTCGTCAAAAAAAATTTGACTGACGTGTTCAGAATTTGATACAGAAATAAGGCCAAGAATGCAGGAGTTAAAAATAGAACATTTAATTCTCTTTACAATTAAATATCGATACAAAACCCTTGGAGCCATTAATTCTCTAAAACTAACCCTATGCTAAGCCATCCTAAACTTTCCCTCCAGGCCTGAAAATGTGCAGAGAACATGCAGGCGCTCTGCCATGTTCTCTGTCTCTATCCCTGCTCTTATTTTTCCAGACTGTCCTATCCCCCCTTTTATCAACATGTCCGATGACGTCACATGGTCTGAGACTGGTCTGGACCCTGGTCCTGGTCTTGGTCCTCCATATCAGCCTGAGCAAACAATGCCCCCCACCCGTGCGGCGCCTGATTGTGTTGGACTTTGCTCTCTGCCAAAAGTGGGAGAGAGCCCTGCTTATACTTGGAGTCAATAATTGTCTGGTTTTGTAAGCTGGTCCTCCTTTATGATTCCCGTACTATCTTGTGTCCTTGGGGTTTTTCCTGAGTGCACAGAGGTCTTTTTTGGCTATGATGTTCAAATGGTCAAATATTGTCACATCTGTATAGTGTATATTTAAAATATGCAACACGACGCAGCGCTATACAAAAAATAAAAAGAACAGTATTGACTTTTCAGCATGTAACTTGTAGCTTGCATGCTCTGGTCTTCTGCGTAATCGCTGTCTGGAATGGATCACTCTAGTTTGTACTTCTGTCTCTTATCTCTGATCTCAGGCGGTGATCGTGGCTCACATCTGCACTTCCTGCTTTTATCTCACTCAGCGGCCGGAGCTCTTCACAGCGAGACTCTCCGATCGATCCACGTCGTGCGGACAGTCCGACACTCCAGTCCCCTCCCCACTGCCCCTGCTCCACCAACACCACCACCACCACCCTCTGCCTCTGTCCTCTGCTCACCTGGACATAACTCTGCTCAAGGCTGAGGACTGTTGGCAGGAACACGTAACTATTGGAAAGTTATGAGAACAATGTGTTCTTTTTTCATGTCAAAAATGCATGTGTTTTTGTTTGGAGAGAACCAGTCATTACAAATATAACATCAGAATGGTTTAAAGTCCATAAAAGAACCCCATCGTTTTCACAGCATCAATTCTCTCTACATTATACCGTTTATATCAGAGTCTCGTTTAACATTTTAGTTTATCATTAAAATGTGAGTTTTGTGATCCAGATTTGTCATGATTTATACAATGATTGTTTGTTTTAATTAATCATATTTTTGACTTTTGTTCCATGGCTGTTTCTTATCATTATTATTTTCTCTACTCGTTGTGCAGCCCTTTGGCAACTATGAATCAATGAATGTGTTTGAAATAAATCAGACAAGGCCATGCTTTCGTCATCTTATTAGAAAACATTTTGCATACTCATAAGTAACAGCCCCGGGCTTTTGGGCTGTGACAAACATGGTCCTCTCTTTTGCCGGAAAAAGCTGACCTGACCAGAAACGACATTGATGGAGTTTATAACATAATTAAAAATGTGTCATGGTTTTAAAGTCAGGTATTCAATCCAGTTTATTTTTCTCTAGCCCTAAATAACAAATAAACAAATTACAAAATTGTTGATTTGCCAGCACAGATCACAGAAAAAACAGTTACCCCAGCTTTAATTATGTATTGAAAAATGTACTTGTGTAGTTTCCTTCAAACAAACTAATCAAGCGTCACCATGATCTTATAGTTTATATCTATCGAATCCGTTACATGCTAGAATTTGGATTCAAAGTAACCTGGAGTTCCCTAATCGTCTCCGTGTCTATGCCCGTTTTTCTCCTTTATCGCTCATGCTCCTCTCCTTGCATCCTTTTCCCCATCACATTCTGGATCAGACTCACAGTAGATCTAACATGACAGGTGGCAGTGCTGCGGCAGAGGGCCCCGTCTACATCCCAAAAATGACATCCTCTCATCTCACTCATCATTGGTCTGAAGGTTGTGAAGGTTTCATCCCACGAAAAACACTCCGAACCCAAAATAACTCAGCAGTGAGAAAAAGCCTGGTCCACTGCAGTTTCGTCTCCATGAAATTTTAATGAAAAGAGCAGATAGGGCTGTTAAACATGGGGATGCCCGGGAACCATTGATATTCTGGTGTTTAAAGTATCTATGCCATTATATTTATTAATAGAAAACTGTATCGCTAATTGTGGTGTACCCCAGGGATCTATCTTGGGCCCTTTTTTTAGTAAACATTTTTTACCATGTACAAAAATGATGATGAGTTTCAAGACTTTTTTGGTCTATGATATACAAAAATATTTTCCTTGCAAAAAAATATAGTCAAAGATAATTTTGTGTAACTTTCTACAATACAGGAACAACAAAAAACATTGTGGTTTGAAGTTTTGGATTTCTATGTTTTTCCCACACTAGTCAGCCCTCAATGTTTTTTTTTTCTGCTTCACACGGGTACTTGATCAACTTAAACAAAATCTCTCTGAAATGGAACTGTTGTGTGAACAAGTTTATCTGACTATCAGTCGCATTATCTCATATGTGCTCACAGTAAGACGTGTTTAAACTCCAACACTGTCAGTCCACAGCTGTGAAGCCCTCCATCCGACGCACAATTAACACTCCCGACAGAAATAGGCCAGTGTCTGAGAGAAGGGGCGTCAGTGCCTCTGCTAAAGCCTTAAATAATAAATACTCACAGTGTGCACTGCCAGGAACATATTACAAATTATAATGAGAAGAAATTAAAAGTGAAGGGATGAGGAGACAGAGTAAATAAACAGCACAGAACGGTGGCCTCAAAATAGCCGTCGGAAAACTTTACATTTTGCATTTTTACAATAATTGGTTCTGCAGAATTCCCAAGCAAAGTTGAAAAGTACTTTTTAAACTCTAAACTTTATCAATGTAAAAACAATCAACAAAAACAACTAAAACTTAATTCTAGAGGAACTAGTGATAGTTCCCACTCCCACGACGGTTTGGTTCTGAGAGGAACTAGTTATATGAATTTTATTAGTCATGTTTTTGTGGATTAACAAAAAGTTAGGTCCTCCAACTTAAAAAAGTAATAATGATAATAACTACAATTATAATCAAAGACGCGAGCCGCATTGAACAGCCCTCGCCACACCGCGCAAAGGAGGTGCCGCTGACGCGCCAATACTCTCGTAGCCATAGAACTAATATTGTAAAATTGTAGCAAAACATTATAGGTTTCAATGGCATAATAATAAATGTAGCTATCCATTGTATGTTTTATTTAATAAACGGTAAGAAAATAATATGAAGCTGTAATTATAAAAGTCCATGTTTGAAGTAAACTAATAGATTCATGAAAATAATATCAGTGCCTCAACTTAGGAGTCGATAGTCTGAATGTGTTTATTGGCACTGAAGTGGATCTGCTCCAGAAATAGCAGATTAAGCGCTGACTTTGAAGGGCACACGATATAATGAGAAGGCTTCATAATGATCTATCCCCAATTATCTTCTGCATATTTATGAAAGCCCTGCTGCTGCTGTGCAAGGACTCACTGCCAATTTGACTTACACTACTTCACGAGTGTGTGTCAGGAAATATACATCAGCCGTGACGCTAGTAAAGGATAAATCATATATCAAAAAGTCTTTGTAAGTGAATAACTGCAGCTGATAACTGAGCAAAAGTAATGTGACAGCTTCTCATGATCAATTATTAGTACCATCATTAAAAAACAAACTCCTATATATTTCTAACAAATCTTGCCTGATTTATGTAGGCTGTGTTATACCTGTTTTTGAATGTATTTAGTAATAATGGTCCAATCAGAGGTCTTTGGAATACTTGGAATACTCCATGCACTTTTTGTGAATGTTACTGTATAAAAGGATAAACTCATACATCAATAAAAACGTGTTTTCGTTTGCTTTTATGTAATATCTATAATATTTTGATCAAATATTGATGTATGTATTCCTTACATTATTATAAAAGTAACCATATTCTAAAACAATAAACTGTATTCTGAATACTCACAAATATGTAGCCAGCACATTACTGTATATTCAAATACTACCCAACACTGCCTATAATTAGACTGGACATATTTGATCTCTTGCAGTATACATCACTATTAGCTTCTCATCTGACCCTTTTGGATGACGTCTTTTGAGCCGGCCCCTCTCTTTGCTCTGGGGACATCTTTTCTTCCTCTTGTTTGGACACTCTCTGAACAACACTGGCTGTGATCCGGTGTCCTGGTCTCCCCTCGCCTTCAGGGACCTCCTCTTGGGGAACACACATCTCCTCGCATTATTCCCCCAGTGCTGCAGCAGAAAATGCGCCAGAATGCATCACTGCTTCCTCATCGTGTCTCCTACCCCCTCATCTCCTACCTCCTTCACCACCTTCCCTCCTCATCATTTTTCCTGTTGGGCCAGCAGCTCTACATCCATGTATCAGCTGTTTCGGGAAAATACGCTTGATTTGTGCTTCAGAGCAAAATTAGCTTAAGCAGAGAGTGCGAGGGGCGCAGAGAGGGCTTTCACACAGGCAGCAGGTTTTCTGAAATGATTTTAAAGAAATAAAAAGTAAATCATTGGAAAAGTGAGAGGTCGGCACAGTGGCGCAGTGCACTTGTGCTTCACAGTGGGAAGTTCCTGGGTTCAATTCCACCTCCAGAACCTTTCTGTGTAGAGTTGTCATGTTCTTTCCGTGTCTGTTCCGGTTTCCGCTACCACTAAAAACATGCACAATAGATTTATCCTCCAGCTCCGGTGTTTCTGTCCAAGCCGAGCATCAACATCTGGAGAAGCCAGAGAAGCAAGAGTGGTAACCACTGCCTATTCAAAATTACAAAAGTTATAATTTCCCATCACTCTATCCTCAGATATGGATAGAGTAATGAAACTCATTATGAAACATTTTATTTAGTTGCTCTCTGTGACACTGACAATGAATTAAATAGTGATCTTTCAATCTTCAATTGAACATACTGTACCTACCCCTAATGACCACTACCATCTGTCCTCATCAAATGGCAAACTAGGATCTCCATTAACACTACAGTCTTTGTAAAATCTCTTCAGAACACTGATATCACAATTGCAACAGAGAACCTCTCTGACTGCTCTCAACCCCACATTCAAAATTAACTAAATGTAAAATGTCCTGCTATTACGCCCTGAGGCCTGATTTTCACTTGCATATAAGAAGGTGGACGTTTGGTCTGCACTCTCGGGTATTTAGCCATGCAGCTCACTCCACTGTGCTACAATCGCTAACACCAGTTCCACGGTTTTGTAAAGTCCTCAGAGAAAACTACTGTTGTGATTTAGGGCTATACAAGAATAATTTAAATTGAATTGGAGAAAACCAGTTCTGATAAAAACCGATTAAAGTTGTCCTTAATCTAAATACAATCATACTGCCGTCTTCTGTGCCCTCACCGCTCCCAGGCCACCACTCGCTTTGCAGACATACTTGAACACTTGAGTACATTCTTGTATATTTGCCTGTGCATTTCCATCTCTCCTGGCAGCAGAAGGGCTTCACTCAGAAGAGGAAGTGGCTCTTTTGTGCAGCTTTAATCCCTCTGAAGCTGGAGAGGTGCAGACTTATTATTGCACCACTGCAGGGCTGTTGCACTCTGGGCATCTCCAGTCTGTCCTCTATTCTTGTGTTTACATTCAACACTGGGATCAAAATGAATTCACCAACATATGAGGTGTTGTCATAAATCGAAACTGGAAGAAAACTTCATATTCAATCTCTCTAAAGTATTGACTGAAATAAAATCAAATTTCATTCATAACACACTCACAGTTTCCCTATGTGTATGCTTTCAAATATATTTTCATAAAGCCGTATGTACCACACAATTGTTTGTGTCCATAAGGCAAAACATGTGAATTTTGACCAAGGACTTACATGCTGGTGTATCAAAACTAATCTAGATTAAACCTGCCTTACATGGTTGGAGTAAATAAGTGTAAGTAACGTTTTTTATATTGAACAGAGAGGGCTTTCACAGCAGACAAGAAGCCGACACAGGTCCAAACATCATGCAACCTTTCCCACTGTTGTCAAAAACACGGGGTCCCATTGGGGGAAAGCCTAAGGACTTATTCCCCTAACTCCAGTGTCTCCCAAAGTGGGGTCCGCGGCCCCCTGGTGGGCCGCGAGGGTACTGCAGGGGGGCCGCGGGAGGTCAAAAAATAAAATAAAAAAAATAATATAATTATTTAATGTTAAATTTATAATGTTTTGTTTGTAATATTAAAATATTTGTGTTCATTATTTGACTTGAATAATCCACTGTAATCATTTTTGTATTACAATGTTTGTATCAGAGGCTATTTCCCCAAAATAAAATAACCAGAAGAGCCTATTCTTAATGTTGTCTTCTTGGTTATTATTTTGGGGGGCCACGCAGACCCGTCAGATTTTTAAGGGGGCCTCGGTGTTACTGAGTTTGGGAATGGCTGCCCTAACTCTATTCTGTACCAATTTGATCTCACAATGATACAATCAGGGAGTCCTTTTCCAGTCTAAATATTGGTAGTTTCTCGTTCACTTGTAATGGTCTATAACCCCACTGCCTCTGCATCATTGTGGAGAGGTTCAAGTCCTCATTTTATTTGCACTCATGTCTTTTATAAAAAACAGTGTTGTCGCATTATTGTCGTCTGTTTGAAGTGTTGTCTTCTCTCTTCCCTTCATTCCCGACGCGTGGCTGTCACCTGTGTGTTTACCTGTTTACTCTTTATTCTAAATGTGCTTCAATGAGCCAAACACCTTCTTCAAAACAGAGGGAGCGGTGCATTGTGGGTCGTGGGTCCATGTTTAGCTTTTGTCTTTTGCTTCAAATCTTTCTTTTGAAGTCAAGTTTTGTCGTTTTATTTTAGTCGTGTCACTCAGAGATGTTTTTAAAAGTCATTCTCATTTCACAGGTTTCAACTTTTGGCTTGTTGTATAATACATTTATCAACTAGACTGCATAATGAGGGACAGAAGTGGATTTATACACCTGAAGCAATGCTTTTACTTTACTTTTTATTAATTAATTAATTTATTTATTTTCTTCCCCTTTTTATTCATGTTACATTTAAATGTGGACTGCACTTTGTCTGACTCGTTAAACTCAGACCTATAGAGAAAAGCTTCCTCTGCACAGGGGCAGAGGCTGTGTTAGAGATAGGAGGAGCACAGTGACACGGGAGGAGCTCGGAGTAGAGCTGCTGCTTCTGACCCACTGGAGGGACTATGTCTCTCCTGAGACCTGGGAACGCCTCAGGATTCCCCTGGAAGAGCTGGAGAAAGAGTGTGTGGATAGGAAAGTCTGGGTGCATCCTCTGTGACCCAACGCTTAAAGCAGAAGAAAAAGGATGGTTGGATGATTAATTTTATTAAATATAATTAACTCACCATTTTTGTGAGATTCTCTATGTGTACTTCTGGTTGACTCAGGATCAACTAAGTATTTTCCATTTGTCTATACAATAGATATTCAACCTATACATGGAATTGATTCTATTATCTTTGATTGTACAAACTTGAAACTCAGGAAAAAGTATCTGGACCTTGACTACTTCCAGTGCAATAATAGGTCAATGATTGTCACTGCATGTGCAATAATAAACATGCAATCTAACTCACTTTCCTCCCCTTTTATCTGCCTGATTATTAGGACACCAATCTTCTACTGTTACTCTAGAGATATTAGCTTTGTCTCCTGCTTTGTCTCCTGCATCCTGATGAACCCTTTATAAATCCAACCCAAACTGACAGAAACATTACAGTATATAAATAGAATCTAACAGGACTGTGGAGCAGGCTGAGGTGAGTCCAGGTAAAGTATCAGTGTATCAGCTGAGTCTGGGGTCACTCTTCCTGACAGCACGAGGACATGACGGATCAGAGGCAACAGCGACACGAAAGTCCAAAATGAATGTTTCAAAGTTAAAGACAGATATTGGTTATGACTCATTCATAACTTTTCCAACTCTGCTCAACAACACAGTTTTGAAGGAAAGGAAACACATTTAGAAAGGTGATAAGAAATGTCCCATGAGTTAAAATTATGTTGATTCTGTTAGTTAGTGATCTGCTGCTTGTTGGAGCTTTTTACATATTTTGAGAAGTGGGTAAATTCAACCACTTTTCTTGATCCTTTGGAGAAACAATACAGCGATGAGCAGTGTGCAAAAGTAACACATGAAGACTTCTGCCACATAGTTGTAGAATTTATATTTGTAGTGAATGCACCAAGTTTCTCATCAATCATGAAGGTTGTGCTTTGGACCGACTCACATGGATCATCATTTGATTATTGATCTAAAACTATGGGTACGTTTACACAGCTTTATTTGGACCTGGTCTTGGAAAGACCGTTTTAACTGTGTTATATATCATAAATACAGTGGATTGGATTGGATGTAATTAAATAAAAAGATAGCTGAGAATGCATGAATCAGAGAATAACATTACTGTGAAGAAGAGGAAACTGCTCTAACATGGATTTCCTTTACACTCTTTTCTGAAAAGCTGTTAGTTTTGTGTTTAGTGAATCTCACTTCATAAAAGTTCTCTTTTGGAGAAAAAACGTCACTCTTAATATCAACTGATATATAGGGGTTACATTACATCCCCTTGTAACATATATTAATACATCAACCCAACACAATCTCTGTGTTACAGCTATATGTGTTTTTTATTGTGTGTTGAATGATAAATCACACTCATTAACATTCTTTTGAAGGACTGCTAACCTTATTATACGCACTCATTATTCTTTCTGCTGTTAACACCACTATACTGAATGTCTGCATTGTGAGATCAATAAAGTGTATTTCTCACAAAAGAACCAGCATTATCTTTCATTTTAAAAATGTCAACAATTTTTTGTATTTATTTCTTTTTGAAATGGACATTGGATTCAAAAAGGGGATGTCTGCAACTTGAATTGTATATAATTCAGAAAAGAACACATATTTTAGGCCATATGAACTTGTAGTGTCATAAAAAAAAAAATTTAAACAGTCCTTCTCCTTGTCAGAAGCATCACCGTGCTGGAGGAGGATTAGAATGAAAAGCTAGGGTCTAACTGGCACTTGTGGGTCTAACATTTCTCTCTTTTTACAAAAGTAACTGACTATCAAACCAGAAAAAATAATAAAATTCATGTAACTAGTTCACAGCTCTCAAAACTGTTTTGTACTATCACTGGTTTCACATACATTTCTCACATTACTTACAGTATATGTAAATGTTATGGTCTAATTTGTTACCAAAATGTTTATTAA